GGAGGTAGCAGTGAGCCGAGATGGCGCCGTTGCACTCCAGCCTGGGCAACAAGAGCGAAACTCTGTCTCAAAAAAAAAAAAAAAAAAGATTGGGAGAATTCGTTAATGGAATAGGGTAACAGAAGATCACAATTGAAGTAGAAATCCAAAGGTGCTTTGGTTTTGGCCTTAGAATTACACACTTTACAACTGAAGGGTAGGAGGTAGTCCAGTGAGAGAATGGTAGAGGAGAAGTTAGTCTCAGTTTGCCATAGATAATCAATGATTGACTTACTTAAAATATAGTCTTTGCCTTTAATATCTGAGAACTTGAACCCAAATATCGTATGTTAAGTGGACAGTGTTACTTTGAAATGGTAAAAAGCCAGACTTCGAATATACTCAAAATGTTCTAAACTAATATTTTCTTGTAGTTTTTTTTTTCTTTGCCATTAACTCAAAATTAATTCTTTAAGTCAGAAATTAGTGTGGCAGTCTTTAATTCCCATTACAGCCTTAATGTTTTAAGGGACTTTGGGTTATTTGTAATAGAATTGGAAATGTATGGGTCATGGTCAGATCCTCTGTAGGAGTTGAATCTTTTCTCAGAGCTGACCAGGCACAACCTTTATAAACTAGTAGCCAAGTTCTAAGACAGCAGTGGGAGCCCCAGCTACCACATGCTGCATCTGATTAGTTCTAAGTGATCACTCTAGAAGGCTACCAGAATCATGGTACCTGATGGTTTGCCCACATAGTAGCTTGTACCGCATTCCACAAAAGCATTCTAGCTTTCTGTAATCCCGAGGTGCCAGGTTAAGCAAAATTAAACTGTTTTCTTTCCTGATACAATAGCTGATGTGCGTTGTGAGCCCCTAAGGAGGCTACGATACGCCATTTTTTTTTCCAGGATTTCTACCCACTTCTAGAATATCTTAAGAATGAATCTGAATATTAAGGACTTTTGCTTTTAATACCTGTAGAATAGGTAAGATGCGAGGGACTAATTGCATAGAATAGAAACATTTTTTAAAAGTAGCAAATAATGAAAATCTACTTGAGGACAAGGCATTTTGAGTGTAAAATGAGATTTCTATGAAGTAACTTAAGGGCACCAAAAAATGGCTGATAATGCAAGGTCAGTGTGAGTGCCAAGGAACTAGGAGTTAAGCGTTGCCTGCACTGGCAACAGGAGCAAGAGACGAGTATACGATTTTCTCCTTCATAGAATAGTCTTGAGCTGGGCCTTAAAGGGTAGATAAGTAAAGACTTAGTTGTTAATGACAAATGCTGGAGAAACACACGTGAAAATAGTTCAATTTGAATGAAAGAAACTTGTAGAAGAGTAGTGATAGTGCTAAAAAGGATGAAGCTGTAAATGTGAATGTACTTTTTTTTGGAGACAGTCTCACTCTGTCACCTAGGCTGGAGTGCAGTGGCGCAATCTCGGCTTACTGCAGCCTCCGCCTCCTGGGTTCAAGCAATTCTCCTGTCTCAGCCTCCCGAGTAGCTGGGACTTACAGGCAAATGCTACCACGCCCGGCTACTTTTTGTATTTTTAGTAGAGACAAGGTTTCTCCATGTTGGTCAGTCTGGTCTCAAAACTCCTGACCTCAGGTGATCTGCCCGCCTCGGCCTCCCAAAGTGCTGGGATTACAGGCGTGAGCCACCGTGGCGCCCAGCCTGGAAATTTTTGTTAGAATAAAAATAACTATAAGACTCTTTTCTCCCTTAATATATGTTGAACAGAGAAATAACTTTTCCTTATAGAGAAGGAGAGCCAACTAATCTATCATTTCATGTTCCAAATCCAAAACTGTTGGATTTATGGTTATTTTTTAAAATGGTAATTTCTGCATTTCAGAATGAGTAAGCAGACCAGGCATGGCGGATCACCTGAAGTTAGGAGTTCAAGACCAGCCTGGCCAACGTGGTGAAACCCCGTCTCTACTAAAAATACAAAATTAGCTGGACGTGATGGTGGATGCCTGTAATCCCAGCTACTTGGGAGGCTGAGGCAGGAGAATTGCCTGAGCCCAGGAGGTGGAGGTGGCAGTGAGCCAAGATTATACCACTGCACTCCAGCCAGGGCTACAGAGCAAGACTCAAATCTTTAAAAAAAAAAAAAAAAAAAGGCAGATGTTTTGACTTAGACTAAAAGATTCTTCAGCTTTTCAGACAGCTATAAGTATACTAACAATTTGAGTTATGAGTTAATTCTAAGTGGAAATGCCCCTTTTTTCCTCTTCACAAGCTAAGTATCAATGATTCATACACTGTCATTTTTGAGTGGTAGTAGGAATAAGATAACTGGAAAGGATCTTACAGTCAAATGGGGAAAAACAGATCGATATTAGTACTAGAGGGCAACAAATGCTGTTAATTTTGGGGTACATAGAGGAAGGTACTTGGTAGAGGACAGGGGC